GTATGCCCTTTGGTCTGAGGAACGCCACTCAAACCTTTCAGCGATTCATTGATCAGGTTCTGCGAGGTCTCGACTTCGTCTACGCCTACATTGATGATTTGCTGGTGGCTAGTTCTGACGCTGCTGAACACGAGATTCATCTTCGACAGCTCTTCGAACGGCTCGACTCCTACGGCGTTATCATCAATGCCGCCAAATGTGAGTTTGGAGTCCCCAGTCCTATCTTTCTTGGTCACGAAGTGAACTCGGATGGGATAAAGCCCGTCCCGGAAAAAGTTTCGGCCATATCAACGTTCCCCGTCCCGACAACCATCAGCCAACTACGTCGATTCTTGGGGATGGTGAACTACTATCACCGTTTTCTTCCCCATGGTGCCACCATACTGCAGCCTCTCAACAGCTTGCTGACCCACTCCAAGAAGACACTAGTGATGACCGAGGAGGCCGTCAGGTCCTTCAATGACGTCAAGGCCGCACTTGTGGACGCAAAATTGCTTGCCCATCCTCGCTCAGATGCCCAGCTAACTCTCATGACAGATACTTCCAGCACTGCCGTTGGTGCGTCACTTCAGCAAACTGTTCGTGGTGTTCTACAGCCTTTGGCTTTCTTCTCGAAGAAGCTCAGCCCAGCAGAAACCCGCTACAGTGTCTTCGGCCGTGAACTCCTTGCCGTCTATCTATACATCCGGCACTTCCGCCATATCCTCGAGGGTCGTGAATTTGTTGTTCTCACAGATCACAAGCCACTCGTTTTTGCACTGAGGGCCTCTCCCGATCGCTACTCGCCCCATGAAATTCGTCATCTCGACTTCATCTCACAGTTTTCCTGCGACATCCAACATGTCCACGGTAAGGAAAATGTGGTTGCTGATGCTCTTTCAAGAATCGAGATGGTTTCCACCACAACAGACGCCATAGACTTCACGCTCATGGCTGAGGCTCAACGATCGGATGGCGAACTTCCCCAATACCGCCACGAGAACTCTTCTTTACGCCTTCAAGATGTCCCCCTTCCCACTCGCACTGGCACCATCACGTGTGACCTTTCTACCGGACACGAACGTCCTTTTGTTCCAGCAACTTTACGACGACGAGTGTTCAACGCTCTTCACAATCTATCCCACCCTGGAGTCCGGGCGACAGTGAAACTCATCACTCACCGATTCGTCTGGCCCAACATCAACCGGGATGTACGGCGTTGGACCCGCTCCTGTCTACCATGTCAACGAGCCAAAACGCACCGGCATACTATTACTCCGCCAGGAACTTTCGCCACCCCTGATGCACGCTTCAGTCATGTGCATATTGACCTGGTAGGTCCGCTGCCACCATCTAACGTTTCTACCTATATGCTGACATGTATTGATCGTTTTACTCGGTGGCCGGTTGCTGTGCCCATTCCGGACATCAGTGCCGAAACCGTAGCAAGAGCTTTCTTGACTCATTGGGTGTCCAATTTTGGAGTTCCTGCGACTGTCACCACTGACCGCGGATCCCAATTCGAGTCCACGCTGTTTCGCGAACTCACATCCCTTCTCGGTACCAACCGAATCCGAACAACAGCGTACCACCCTCAAGCAAATGGTCTCGTCGAACGCTTCCATCGACAGCTGAAGACTTCCCTTATGGCCCAGCCCGATCCTCCCCCTGGTGCTGTTGTCCCTCCGTTCCACTCTCAAGGCCGACAACGGTTGCACTGTAGCTGATCTTGTCTACGGAACCTCCCTACGACTGCCCGGTGAGTTAGTTTCTCCTTCACACACGCTAACGTTTTTCGAACCTTGCAGTTATGTGGAGCGACTACGTAGTGCCATGCGCAATCTCCGCGCAACGCCCCCTCGGGCGTCACCGGCCAATTCCTTCATCCCACCCGACCTGGATAAGTGCGATTTCGTCTGGGTTCGGCATGACGCTGTCCGACGACCACTCCAAACACACTATGACGGGCCGTATAAAGTCCTTCGCCGATCTGGCAAAGATGTTGTCATCGACCGCAACGGCAAGACCGACACAGTGAGCATTGATCGCGTCAAGCCGGACTACATCGACGACAGTGACCATCCCTCACCCCAACACTGTACCCCGCCTCAGACACTGCGGCCTCCTCCACCTACTGGCGACAGCCCCCCTCCGGTTCGCCACACACGATCTGGTCGTCATGTCCACTGGCCCGACAGGTTTGTTGCTGGCTAGCATGTCGACGCCTTCACTTCGTTTGGTGTCTGGGGGGAGCTGTAGCAGCCGCTCCAGCCCCCCTTTTCTCCGGCTCCGTTTCGTCGGTCGATGGCCGTGACAAGCACTGACCGGCCGCTGACGCACGACCACCCCCGCCGGCTAGAACTGGGACACCTCCTGTCCAGTTGCAGTGACTCCCGGCTGCACTCAAAAACTAGTATCGCCTAACGCGCGTCGAACGCTTTGGCTAGATTCCTGTGAGGCCTTGTGAGTATGCGCCCTCCATTCGTCCTCTAATAAGTCGATCTCACATCCTTGACCGCCACAAGAGCGAGAAAAAGATAGCGATGTATATAAAATAGAATATAAAATGGAAAAACGTCAATATGGTTGACGAGGCTGGTTCAGAGAAATTCAACGCTGTCCTTCCGTTGGCAGAATATTGACTGACGCACTCGTCTCGGCGTCCTCGCCTGCAAATGGGAAAGAGATGGTTTAACCTCGCTAGATCCTTTCTATTTTCCCGCCTCCAAATCACACAAACCGATATTACACTAATTACACCGCATGTGCATGGTTTTTAGAGCCCTGAAGAGTGATTGCTTTAGAGAGAAATATATAAGGTGGTGTAGCGCAGCTTTCGAACACTTGCGCGAGCACTACGATGGCGTCTGTTTCTGCCGCTAATTAAAGTTCCGCGACACTGCTCGGTCGGTTTTTCCAATCGCTAAGTGATCCGGAAGACGCAATTAAGTAATTTAGCCAAGTAAGAAAAACCAATATGGGTATATTTTTTAGGCAACCGGCTATCTACAAAACGATAAGTTCCCACAAACACCCTTTTGGATCTACTCATGCCAAGAAGTTTCTGTTTGTCAGCTGGAAGTATGCGTGCATAATGGGGGAATGAGTAGAAAACGGATTCGCGGTATGCACGTCCCGCAACGCTCGCTTGGAAACCTGGTCTTTAAGTTTTTCCCTAGCAGATGTTTTCTTTTTTAGCGTTTCATTTTGCTTTTGCGCTATATTAAGATGAGACCTGGGCTTTTCCGTGTATAAATCACAGTCTCTGCCTGGTTGCAGGTTTCCACCAAAAGAACAAAATCAAAGGAAACTCTAGTGCAGTTATCTGGGTGCTTCCAGGGAGACAATAATCCGCCTGTCAGTTATTTTCCTGCTATGACTTGTAACTTTAGTGTGCGTTTTCTGACTACCCGTGGGAATATTACGATATTATTTAGACATACAACCTGGCCATTTGTGTGTGGGGGTTTTGACTAGATTTCGGAGGTGGATTTCTTTATTTGCTTGCAGACAGGTCCGTATCTCTGCCTTCACAATACGTTTAATATGCATGAGACGTAAAACAGTCGCTAAAATACCAGGAATACAAAACAAACGTTGCGGTACGCACGTACCGCGAAATCGTTGTTTAGCCAATCGCGCATAATGGCTACAACGAAGAAGTATGACAACTAATGACTGCATTTAACACACATGTTTCTAGCCCTGTTGGCTGCGACGCGGGGCTCCGGAAAACTCGGGAAGACGTGGGTTGGAATGTGATGGCTTGCGGTCTTTCGTATGGGTATCTAAAGAAAACTCCTCTAAAAGTCGTGTAACTTCATCATACACACTAGCAAAGGAAAGGGGTGGAGTGGACATGATAGCGACGAATGAACTGATACAAAGGTTTATTAGTAAAACGTTCGTGACACGGTAGAAAAATAAGTTTAATGCGATCTATGACGTAAGGTAAAAATAGTGGTACAGACTACTAATCAACTAAGAGAGTGCAACTTAATCCTATGATTCGATAAAACGTGAAACACGGGAAAAGATTAGTTAATGGTGAAATAAACGAGGCGGAAAACGAATCGGCAGTTCAGGAATACGGAAACGATAAGGAAAAGGGGACTTAGCGGAGGGCGTGTCGACCGGCGTCAGCTCCGATCCACGTGACCCAAGTTCTGAAAAAGGGGAGGCGGGAAATAAAAAAGGTCCGTTTAAAACAATCGGTCGTTACACTGTGTTAAGCCCTAAAGGAAAGTAGTAAGCAAATGGGAACACGCGCGTCGTTTCTATTGCTGTAGGTGTCGTGTGTATTGAAACAAGATTGCAGACATGTCCAGTCACTCAATGAATTAGAAAACGGAAGAAGGAAGTGCGAGAAGTCCTTGACGGCTTTTGCCCTTATCATTTTCTGTTCCAAACAATGAATAAAATGCGGCAAGTCACATGACTAATTGCCTTAATTTTTATTGGGCATTGAATACGTCTACCTGGACGAGACGGGGTCTGGGATGGCGGTGGGTCAGACGAGTGGGCATGGTTGGGTGGGATTGTTGTGTTTGATAGTTGGATGGATGAATGAAATAGATAACTCCGGTGACGACACTCTAGAGGATTTGGGTTGCACATCTGGCGACGGTAGGCATTCAAAGCAGGTTATCTTATTGTTGCATTTCCCATACAAGATGACGTTGATTCTGCATCGACGGTACTCTTTGGTGTCAACTGAGACGGTGTCTATCCTGTCAGCAGTATGAACAACATAACACCCCTTTATCCTTTGGTGAACCTCCAATGGACTTTCGTGGATGAAAAACAGACGTTTACACACTGCGCAATGTCGAACGATAAAAATGAACGTATTTGTAGTCTCGCCACACAAACACAGATTTGAATGCTAGAAAAGCAGGAGTTTGGGCAGTTGAGTCATATGTTCTTTCAGTTGTTGTAGTCAAATATTCTTTATGGCTTCGTCTATCTGGCAGAATCTTCAGATTGCCGGGACATTAGGATTGGTGCACTGTCGACGTGTCCGGCTGACACGCATAGCAACTCTTTGCTGACAGAAGATTGGATGTCTGTAAGCGCAAATGTGGGGTCGCCACTCCAAGAGGCTGAATGTGGGGGAGACATTAATGCTGTTTTTAGATGTCGAACTAGATGTGCGAGAGAACCGTTGGAAGCAGGACGATATGCTTTGTGGTTCTGTGTGAACAGCCTGGTACATTCACGAAAGGGGTGGGGGTTGAATTGAATTTGGTTCTCTAGGCCAGCGGTGTTGGAGGCAGACACACCAGATGTATAAATTCGGTGGTGCGGAATGACGATGATAATAACTTTTGTCGAATTAGGCGAGTAGGAGTCGGATAAATTTATGTTTTGTGATGGGGGAAGGGTTAGATTCTGAGGCTACAGAGGGGAAAGAATGCATTGGTTGGCGGTCGGCTTTTCTACGTTTTGTGGGTTTGCACACTTCGTGATGTCAGAATCAGACTTCTGATGGTTGATTTTTGTTTGAGATATCCCATTGGCAACAACGCTTCCACTACCGCAGACATACCGGATATAAAATCTGGATAGTAATCCACATTATTTTTGAATAAGTGTACTTCCGATGAAGTCTTTATCAAAGCAAAGATTGACTTCGAAAATGGTCTCTGTCCTTCATTTGGAGCGAATGTACTAAGAAAATAAACGTTTTAGTTGCCGTGATAAAACTCCACTGCAACGAAGGGCTTCTCCCCAATTAACAAATGTAAAGCCACCACGGAATTCTAATCATCTGCCGTTTGCATCTTAAGCAGATTCTCCATAGGGCGTCAATGTAATCGACCCCTATCTGCAGCGGCCTTAGTTCCATCTAGCTCTTAACCTGAGCGCATTTTCACTGAGTCAGTTGAAACCAGGCTCTTTAAAACTCCCCCAGGATTCAAGGATTGCTCAAATGCGGCTCCCATATTTGCTAGGGTGTATGATATTAACCGTAAAGATGAGCCAATCCTAGATGCACAACCGAGGTTTAGATTTACTAGGCGGGTTGCATAAGCTTCTTTCCTTATGTAACCCGCCTAGTAAATCTAAAAATCTTACCTTTGAGTTACAGGCAACTATGCG